CTTTATATTATTAAAAGCAAAATTTAGTTATTCTTTACAACTCTTTACCTGTAGAGAGCCATTGGTCAAATGCATGACCACCGCGCATGTTGTGCGAAACCATGAGTGCAAATGCGGCATACGAGAGATCTGATCGCTTTCAAAATTTACATTATTCGCTCCGGCTTTGACAAGATGTTCGGTCATGTACCGTTTAAAATAGGTAAGCAACTTCATTTTCTTGTCTAACGTCTTACAGTAGTCAGTTGTGGTCATGTACGTTTCCTTGCCATCTTTGTCGATGAAATGCACATTGCTGCAAGCAAAGGAATTCAAATTGCACACAAATAAATATGTAGTTCGTTGAAAACTTACATTTGATTGGGCAGTAGTATAAGCTTTGTGGTATCATTAAACATAACGCCCATACCCTCGTCACACAACTGATAGCCGAAACCGTATTTGTCACTATAATCCACCCATTTTGATACCCAGAATAGTGGTTGCGCTGCTGGATCAGTATTTTCATCTCCCAAATTGCGCGGCAGCAGTTTTGGCTACACATGTCAAAAATGTAGCAATAAATTTTAATTTATTGCAGTCATATAAATAAATTATATTTGAGAGTAGTGAAGCTCACGTTCACGTTCTTACCTTAGCATTAATGAGCTCTGTTAATTGCTGGTAAAGGCTTTCAATATCCGCACGATAGTCCTCATTGTGTCGGAAAACTTGTGCAGAAGCAGTGATTGCATCGTGTAGATTATTTTTAAGGAATGTATGCTCCAACCGCGTATCATCCTTGATTCCGTTCAATTCCAGCAAAGGTTTGCGATTTCCCATAGCATCTGTGGTCAAGGCCTCATTCATTTCTAGTCGTGGTGCCATGGTCAAGCAAGAGCTAGGCAAGAACATTGGCACTGGCGAACAGCTAAGGAATTCAAACGACAGTAGTTTGCCAATAGTTGGGCGCAGTTCTGGGTTGGATTGTAACATAGCGACAATCATATCTGCGGCGGACTTGCGCAGATAGCTTGGAACCCTAAGTATTATAAATAAACAGTAGCTTCATTGGTATTTACTTACTTATATTTGCATATGTTCTGAATGGATGACGGGAAATCACTTACCTATATTGGCACTTTTTGATTTTCTCATATGTATCCTTTAATGTTTTTGTCTCAAACGGAGGTTGGCCAACCAGTAGCGTATACATAACACAACCTATTGACCAAATGTCCACCTCGAATGAATGGCCTTTTTTGTTGAGGATCTCAGGCGCAATGTAATTGGGTGTGCCACAAAGGGTCTTTTTGCGTTCACCTTCGTACTCTACTCGCGTTGCAAGACCAAAATCGCCGATTTTTACATGCAACAGATCATCCAAAAAGAGGTTGCCTAATTTGAGATCGCGATGTATGATGCGATGATCATGCAAATATTTAACACCCTGTATAATCTGATAGATGTAATAACGACATTCGTACTCCGTTATTGTTTTACGACGCTTCTGCAGCTCCATCATTGACTAAGTGGGAAAAAGTAGTAAATGTCCATTTAATTTAGACATTGAATATTTAATCAAATCTACTCACCCGCTTTTTGCACAACTCCAAAACAATATAAATGTTGTAGCTATCCTCAAAGAAACTATGGAACTTAACAATATTTTCATGACTGAGACTTTTGTGTATTGTGATTTCCTGTGACATTTTTTCTTTCTGATTATGCTTCATCATCAACTTTTTTGACACGATTTTTCCTGCGTATACATTGTTGGTTTCCACATCGACAATCTCGTAGCATTTTGCAAAGCCACCCTGTTAGAGTAAATAACTAGTTAGTCTATCCATTTACTAGTCCGGTACATAGGATTTAGTCAGATCTAGCCCGGAAGATATTGTAAATGTAGGGCCGACTTCCGACTAAATCCTGTAAACCAGTACAGTAAAAAAACGGAGCGAAAATCAAGTAAATCAAAACTCTGCGTTAAGAAACTAGAGGATAGGGAAAGCTAGCGAATCGCAAAGTAAAACGTTGTACAAATATCTGCGCAGGCATTTTTTTTTAGAAAATTTTCGCAAAGTGCTCTTTGAAGTGGCACTTTTGTCAAACCTACTTACTTTTCCGAAGAATCGCATCCGCTTATAAGTGGACCGTGTGGTTGCATCATAGAGTCGCTCTGGTATGTCGGAAGTTTTATCGTCAGTCTTTTGGGCCATCTTGAGCTTAGTTTTAGCTGGTTACACACACACACTTGTAGGCACGTTTACTGCACTGATGCACCGTACCTAACCAAAATCCGCTACCTTTCGTCGTTGATTTACCAAAGCGTAGATTGCACGCAGTAAATATGTAAAATACACGCCAGAAGAAAACTAGCCAGCCGTAATATATATACAAGGAAATCGCGCGTCCGTCCTTGCCGCTTACTCGTCGATTAAATGCTATGCAATCAACGTTTACGTATAACAAAAAAATCAACAATTAATGAAAAGACAAAAACTGCAACAATCCAACGAACGCACGATCAACCCAAGCGACGAAAGTGTGCTTAAAAAAATATGATCGTCGTGGAGGATAATGAAAACCGTTTGTGACAGAAATTTCAAAATTCCTTCCTTCGAATGAATTTTGCGCCCGTTGTTGAATATAGCTGCCTCACTCTTGCTAATGGAAGTCAAACGATTGTGAAAATGTCGCTTGACCTTTTTTCGAAAATTTTCGAAGTTCTTTTGTTGTCTAACTATTGTGAATTACTAAAACTTAGGTAGTGTTGCCGTATTACTACTATTTTAACAAATTTGGAAGGGTATTTTTCTAAATTTTGATAGGTTGGTAGATTCGTTTTGCATTTTGCAGATTTTTCCAGAGGATTGTTTGACTTCATTAATTTCAAAGAAACGACAGGTATAAGTGGAATAATGCTTNAATTTTGATAGGTTGGTAGATTCGTTTTGCATTTTGCAGATTTTTCCAGATTGTTTGACTTCATTAATTTCAAAGAAACGACAGGTATAAGTGGAATAATGCTAAATTATTTTAAAGAATTATTTAACTTATCAAACCATTAATATATATATAAAAGTTCATTTAATCTATTGACACCATCATTGAGTGGGATTCAGATCAAGAAAGCGTTTAAATAAACTTGATTGAAAAGAAGCTTGTGGAATTTTTAAGGTAAGATCATAATGCCTCACTCCGACAAACTTCGCTGACTTCTGGAAGGAAAACTGTTTAGCAACATTAAGGGAGTTCCACAGAGACCGGGACAGATATAAAACAAATGGAACAAAGTCTATGTAGTATTATAGATGCCTTCCAACCAAGCGCTCTAAATTTTTGCGAAGTACAACACTTTTTCTTCTAACCAATTTCGATCGGTTTTTTAATTGACCTAAATAACCTTTGTCAGCAGAGGGCGTAATCAATTTTTTCTAGAGATTCGTGCGAATGGTATCTGTCGGACCGGAATAGGTGTCTCATGAATCTAATTCTTCTCACTCGCTTGTTATGACAGTTCGAATCGGATTAGATCCGCCCGGATGGCATCCGTCGGATACCGCAATAGGCATGATTGTTATATTTAAGTTCAAAATCTCAGGAAGAATTCTTTTCCCTAAGAGTTTATATTTAAAGAATTTGCCATCGGAAGAATCTTAATGCAATGAGAGAAGGCTTCCAGGATGATTAAGATTTTGTCAATCTTGTTTTTGCTTGATTTTATGCCCCTATTCTTGGGGCAAAATGCGAATGCGATACAATTAATTTTCATCGAAATTAATGGAATTGTTTATAACGCCGTTTTCTAAGTTTTTTAACCGTGCCGTCCTTGAAGTAGAATTTTAAAATGTGATTTTTCTTTGAAAATCGGCCTTTTTGCAAAACAATTAAACTTTGGAAGAATTCTCGCGGCCAATAAGGTAGAAAAACTGATTAATCCGGCAACACTGATTGCAGGGTTTACATTATTTTGTAAAGGCTGCGTTCCCGTAAAGCAAAATAAACACACCGAATCGCCGCTACAACCAAGAATGATAGAATACAAGATTGCGCCGATCAGAGGATTTTTGAGAATAGCTTTTGTGTGACGTCACACTGGTGCAATTGCGAGAGAAATGTCAAAACGTGAGCAAGAATGGAAGAAGAAAAAATGTTGCAAGGAAAACGTAAACAAGTTGCACAAGTGTGACGTCATGCAAACAACGATTCTTTCAAATTCGTTAAGAGAGGAATAGCGGTCCGAGATCGGCGCAACCTTTGTAATCTCTCAATCGTGCGCTACAACATAGTACAAAGTTCTGAACCATGAAGATTTTTTTACAATGTAGGTATGTAACTGCTCCTTCGTTATAGGCTTTTTTTTATAAATATATTCCGCTTAGTTCTGATTGTATCTGACTCTATACATTAAAGAAAATGTTAAACAGGGGTCCAACAGGGTGGGCCCTTTCCCCGCTGCTGTTATTATATCTCGAAACCCCTCAACTATCAGGAGTCTCTATGCTGTTGTTGTAGAAGTAGTGCGCAACCCCCCCGGTTTTCGTCATGTGTCGTCTTCATCATTTGACTCTACAAGCCTGAGTCTGTGGCACCACCCTGACCGGAGTTGTGCTTCCATTGTCTTTGACACTGGGGGTAGGAGGGAGATTGGCCCGTAAGTCTCCTGCGTCCGCCTTCTTCCCTGGCTTAAGAAGGGGAATGATCCTACCCGTTTTCCACATCTCGGGGATGATCAGGGTGGACTGTAAAAATTTGAAAGCTGCTGTGATGTACTCGACTCACGCAGCTCCTAGCCTTTTCAGCATCTGCATGGAGATTCCATCAGGGCCTAACGCCTTGGATTCTTTGGCACTCTTTCCAGCTACCTGTGTGCAAAAAACTGCCGACCACGTCCGCGGATCCGACGTTGTGGTATTGTCCAATGTAAGAGCAACGTTGTGCTTACGTTTCGTCGGATGGGAGAGAAATTTGCCCGCCGTCCACAGTTTACTAGCTCCGCTGGAGTTTGCTTTCCGCTTATGTTCGTTTAGGAATGTCCTTGTTGACATCCCTGAAGCAAGGATCACCAGGATTAAACTGGCGGATTCGCTTACGCACGATTGCGGCCCGGCCCGTTTATAGCGATACTGCCGTCTGGTATGACGCGGGCGACTGCTACGTTGATGATCCTGTGGATGTGGCGCTCAGCAACGCGCGCGCATGTTGGCGGTGGAAGAGCGTTAAATTTGCGGTCTGTGCGTTCCGTAAAATCGTCCCAGTTAGCTTTCACGTATGTACGGTTTTCGGATGTAACAAAATCTCTTCGGTGGTAAACCGCGACTACTATGCTATGGAGCAGGCAGTCTGTTGCGAGCGTGAGCACTGGTGCCATCCAATGCGGAATATGACCATTCGTACCCTGCAGGAGGAGTACCTGGAGGTGAGTCCTTGTAAAGTATATACATGCGAGTATATGTAAACGATTATAAAACGACGGATTATAGATTTTGAAATTATCTTCCTCGAGATTGCGTTACTTTAGAATAAGACTCCAATGTCTTCCTAAATAAATCAAGAACTATGTATTAATTATTTAGAACTTAAACGCATAATTCTTAGTTTTTATTTTTATTATTATGTTTTTAATTTTGAATATGTTTTATATGTATCTCAGATTTTCTTATTTTTTTAACATTAATTATCAAAGTTGACGCGATTTATTTTCGCTTTTCCACAGTCTCACACTATCAGTATATTCAACTGATATTAAACACGCTTTCCTTCATTGTCTTCATCACCTTCATTATTATAATTATGTTTTATTTTTACCTTTTCTAAATACTAAATGTTCCAAATATGACTATATGCTTTCGTATCCTCTCAATTTTTGTTTTGTGATAATTGGGCTGTGTGTCATATTTTTGCAATGCTGCCAAGGTAGCTGCTTCACCTGCACACCCACAATCTTACAAGATAGTTGTTCGGCAATGCTTATTTTAGTGATAGTATGATGCGGTAAATAAGCCTGTTACCCAATGCACGTAAGTATTTATTGTAGTTTGTATACGTCCTGTTGTCACTTACTTCAACTTTTCTTCCTCATTATATTAATAATGGCAATGGTAATCTATTTGTAACCATTGAGATTTATATTATCAAGAAGCAAATTATATAATTACTATTTATCGTAGTAGTAGTTCTTCTGATTTTGTTGCTGTTTTGTAATTATTATAGTAATACGTTAAATGTTCTCATTGATTACGCTGCTTTTTGTTGTTTTCTATGTGAATTATTGTTTTTAACTTCGCTTGTATTTGTTTCTACGGGTAATTGGTTGACTGATTTATACCTCTTATAGTATTTGTTGTTGTTACAAGCTTTAAAGTTGTTTACTGTTTTGCTTTGGAATATGCTGATTTTGTTTATTTGTGGTACTTGAGTTTCACGTAGTTGTTTTAGTTGATCTTTTTTTATGTAGTTGTGTTATTGATCTCGACATTGTTTTGTTAATATCATAAATTTGGTATTTTAGATATAATTTCAGCTTAATGTTGTAGTACTCGTACATGTGCGTTGCAGTCGTAACCATTCCACAAATTCATCCAACATAACAGGCCCTAAGTGAAAATAAATTTACAAATATTTTTTTAAGTATTACAATATAATAAATATGCACTATGTAAAATGATATCTATGTATTGACTATAGAACTCACATGCTCCATCGATATCGTAATTCGTTAAATCGTTGTTGATTGTGCGCGAGAATTCAAGTATGTTGCACCATTGGTCTTTGTTAATAACTTTGTACTTTGATTGATCGAGGAATTGCGCGAAATGTGGATACAGCGGCCAATGCTTGCCGAGTAGTAACTGTAGCATTGCTTTAGCTGTGTTTATATCCATGCTGCGCTGATCAGAATCCTGTAAATACATACGGATTTTAGCTTGTGGAAATATGCTTTATTATAAAATATACACTAGGCGAATTTCTTGAAACTTTTCGAGTATGCGGGTCAATTTTAGTCTAATGAAGTGTAAGTTTCAAACGGCTGAAAATCCCGTTGATTTTTTTTGAATAGTTACACAGGTGGAACTAACTTTTTCTACCTAGAGTAAGAGTTTTTACTTCTCAAGCTTTTCCACGTGAATTTTTTCTGTTGAATGCAATTGTTCATGTATATATAAGTACCTTGGCAAAATCGTAGGCATATCTGTATATGCTTTTGAAGACATTTGGATCGTTGAGTATACTTTTTAAATAATCTAATTTAGATTGCATTTTTGCAGCAGAATCACATTCCAGTTCGGTGAGGCCCTTTAACCATTCACAACGACTGAAGAAGCCCATTTGTGTGGCGCCCATTTTGTAGGCTAGCACAAGCATCACAACATTTTCCGGCTCAACACCAATATCATCGCAGAATTTCTCCATACCATCGGGACCTGTAGTACAGAATCAACGTGAGGTATGCTTTATTTTCGTATGCATAAAATATAATAATTTTGCAGCAAATTACCTAGCGTATCCGGCTCATCGGGATTTGTGTATTTACAAAACCAATCTACACAACGCTTTTGGCTAAAACTATCTTCAGCCTTGATGTGGCGTCTGTAAATAGAAATTCGCAAATAAACACACACATATTCACTAACATAAAAGCAAACATATTTTTTTTTTTATTAAAAAATCATTACTTTTCCATTCGTGCACACGAATTATGCCGAAATTGGCAAAAGTAAATTATACTAATTATATTTCGATAAAAAAGAAGTGTAACTAAACTGGCAACGCGTAGAGTAAAAATAAATTTAAATAAAAATTTTCAACACAAGAACAAAGTATTGCTGCAGCTGATTATTGTTATTTTAACATTGTCATATATGTTAATTGTAGTTGTTGCTTGCGCCTATAAATAGCCGGACTATTAAGCAATAACAAACAAAAACAGCATAGGGCAGCGAACGAAGAGTATAGTAAAAAAAGTCACAGTATCATCGACGAAGAAGCCGGTGGAAATTGAAACTCATACAAATGCAAAAAAAAAATCTAGAAAATTAGCTATGCGAGTAGAAAGAATTGACATCAGAAAGAAACTCTGTAGCGTGTCTAGGTGGTTTTTAAGCACATGATGCATTTAAACAAAAGTGTGATTAATTACGCACTTGAAGACAAGTACAATTTAATGATTTCCAAATATTTCGAAATTATTTTGTGTACTGCAATCTACAGATTTGTTTTATGCAAACAAATAAATGCACAGACATGGTATTTACACCTTTCTGCAGGTTTACTTATACTATATGTGATTTTAAAAACACTACCTATTTGATAGGTTAATTTTGGGTATCTTCAACTTCATTTTTGCTGTTATATGTACATATCTATATGCAGCACTTCCACTTGCAAAATTATGACTAACAATCAGCGCGAAATCGCACGTCTATCATACCGTAACTCCATGACTGTTATCAGTGAAACAGCAAAAAAACCAAACTCTGCTAAAATTACTGATAAGATGCAAATTATACGTTCAGTTATCAATGACGCTGATGGACTTAACTGTTCTACATATAAAGAAAATTGCTATTACATACATACACACAGGGACAAAAGAATGGATGCAAATTGTTTGCAACTTATATTTATTTATTTTTAAGAATATTCATTTAAAATATAGTTCGATCCATACAGAAACCGCATTAATGAATGTTTCAAAGTTTACGCAAAGCACACAAAAATGAATTGAATAAAAAAAAATTATCATCAAAACTTCCAGCTTTTTATTCAGAACTTAAAAAATTTTTATATTTTTATGCAGTTTTGAAGCTCATTTAATTTTAGTATAATAAAGTACAAGATTCCATTTGCTAAAAATTACCATTTATTTTTTCGAATTTTTATTGTCAAAGGTTTTGAGCAATTTCTTTCATATCTCTAGCTAAGAGTGAAAAGTGCTAAGTACATTTTTACAAATTTTACAGAAGAAAAAAACTTCTTTGAGCCATTTTTTTTCAAGTATTTCGCAAAACTTTCAATACAACATTTTGCTTGTTTAAAGCAAATCATCGAAACTCCATACGAATGAGGAGGCGTCGATCTTTACTAAAAATACTGTACGTGATTTCGTATTATTTTAGTGGTATCGGATTTTCGGTGCCTCCTTTAACCTTAGTTAATTTGCCTTTCACTGAATACATATATATGTATGTATAAACGAGAAGAAATCAAACAAGCAATCCTTTCGAAACGATGCATTTTCAATTTCTCTTGCGTCCTATATCAAATCATCAGTTTTCATAAAAAGTGGACTTAGCGACTCTTCACTGTAGCGAAGAAAAATATTCTAAAAAATTAATAAAAACTATTAAAAATAAATAAACAAAAGTTGCAAACAATTTAATTTATTTTTGTGTACCTAGTTTTTTTTTGTCCATCAGTGTTTGTACACATGTTTACATACACATATATGTAAATTTATGTCTTAAGAGAATAAAAGCCATACTTTATGGTTTACAAGTGTTGACACGTCCAGTTAACTTTCAATACTGACGATTTTAAAGAAATAAGTGATAGATTTTGAACTAATATAATGAATTAAGCGGAGAAGGAGATCAAACCTCATAACACTTAATTCCGATAAGGAAGTCCCTCAGTGGCACTCCCTACAACTTTATGTTGTGACTACCACATGACAACCAAGTTGTTCGTGGCAGAATGCATGAAATTTCATAAAACAGCGTAATGCAGATACGATTTTGTAGCAAAACAATTTGATGGTAAGAAATATATCTGTGGTCATAAGCACTAACCGCCTAAGTCGAAAAACCTGAATTCGAGAAAAAAATTTAAAACATTTGGATTGTAATGTTAGCCTTATGGGGAAACCAAAATATTTTCGCCTATAACTTTTTAAGTAGCCTAGCTGGCGAGATGGGGATTTCACATACGCATGGAATAGTGGTTGAAGAATACGATAGCATATATAGCTAAATTCTTTCTTAAGTCGACTTGGGTGGTTATTGCTTGTTACCACAGATATGATATTACATAAATTTTTCAGCATTTTTGTTATTTTTTAAGCAAGTCTAAGCACCGTTAAACAAATTAGTTTTAAAATTTTTATATACATATGTAGGTAATTACTATATTAACGAATTACCTGCTGGTGTTTTGTGTTGTAGCATATCCACCGCGTGGTCGCTTGGAAGTTGCACGCTCCTCTTCGCCCCCCATGTCGTGATTTGCACGCCGTTTACCGCGGGGCATATCAAACACCTTGATAGTTTATGATAACCTTGTGCCCACGTATGAAATGTTTGTACGTATTTATTTTGTATTTAATTGCTGCACAGGTCTTGTGTGTACGATTATAACTTTATAAGCAGGCCGGTCGGTAGCTGCTTTGTTTTTCCGGTAATCTCTATATGTATGTATGTGCGTATGCTTATGTATCCTGGGAGTGTAGATCAATTCAATGTAGGAAACCGTTTTTAGCGTTGGCAATTTTCACTTGTTTCTTTAAAAAAATATTCATCGATGGCAAGCAATTGTTCTAAAAAAGAAAATTTGAATTAGATATGAACATACTACGTATATTGGCTGATTTTAAAATTATTTACTTGGTGTGCTTTTAGGCTTCCGAGCGTTCTTTTATTACGCACTCGATTTTTTGCACAGCTGGTAGTTTTAGCAATTATCAAACAAGTGCCGAAAAAAAGCACTAGGCCGATTGATTGGAAATTCAAGAGCGCAATACAACTTCATGCAGAGGCAATGAGCAACGCTTTCATGAACTAAAATGAAAAAGAAAAGATTTTCATTTGTATGAACTAAAAACACATGTATGTGGATAAATGCACGGCAGTGGGTGGGCACTTATAACTTCATTCATTCACTATTGAATTATCATTTGGCCATTCTCAAGTTAATTTCCTCCCAAACAGCCATGTACATATTTTGTAAAGCTGCAACTTTTTACGTATGTATGAACATATATACATACGGAAGTCTGTAATATATTTAAACAGGGTTGTATATATTTTCTAGGAATTTCTATTTTCCAGCGTTGGTGGAGCTAATATTGAAGATTTTAGCAATTTCGCCGGCGTACGTAAGACCTAGTCGGCATCACCGGCTAGAAAACTGCGAGCTTCATAGCATAGTACGAATACGATTGCCAATATTTTGACACTTTCTTTTGGTGTGCCCATTCGGCGGCACATCCTGCCCCAACATTTATATAAAATTTGCTGGCTTCCATTTTTAGCTCCCAATGTCCTTTTTTCCCCGCCCCCATTTAGTCAAACAAGGCATCCACATCGCTAACGTTATCGCCCCGTGCTAAGATATGCATGCGGTTCTTTCATCATTTCAGTTCAATTGCCATTTTAGGTATTTAAAGCCCTTCAAATTGATACATTCAATTGATTTTGCAATTAACTCACAAACATATAACAATTTTAATAAAGCTTTTATTACCCGTTTATTGAATGTAACTATGTATTTAATAATGGCAACAAGAATTTCACTTCTTGGTGTATTTAGATTGTGTGGAATGCATCGTACAGTTTCATAAGTAAAAACACTATCAGCTGATTGCCAAAATATGCCTACAGCTGAGATCACCTGTTTTTTGGCATGTGCTCTTATCTTTTACAATTTCTTTCATTTCTATTACAATTTCATTTATTTCTATTACAATTTATTCAAAATACACTAACACACTGAACCAAAAACACCAATACAATAACCAAAAACACACCTACAGCCTGCCAAAAACACACCTACAGCCTGCCAGAAAAAACGGTAAGAAGAAGAGTTACTTTACTTATGGAACTGTACGATGGTGGAATGAATTCATTTGACAAATTATTGAATTCTAATTGGGCACTAACTGAACATACATCGCATGGTTGCATTTTTTACGACCGAAAATAAAGTCCCTTACCGGTTAACGGAAATTTACACCCACCTGAAAACCCGAGGCGAATTTATACGGTAGTGTTACTGGCGAATTTAGATTTTCGCCGCGGTACTTCCTAATGTCAAAATGATGTTTGTTGCAAACAAGGCGAATTAATATTACAACAAACACATCATTTTGACATTAAGAAGTACCGCGGCGAAAATCTAAATTCGCCAGTAACACCACCTAGTATAAATTCGCCTTGACAATATTGTCTGGTGTAAACCCTAACTTACTGGCGGTTTTAGATTTTCGCCGCGGTACTTCCTAATGTCAAAATCAAGGCGAATTTATACAAGGTGGTGTTGATGGCGAATTTAGATTTTCGCCGCGGTACGTCTTAAGAGCGAAATACACCACACAAGCGGCTTGTCAAACATTCTTCAAACCTACTTTTCCCATTTCGCCATACACCATGCAAACATGACTCGTTCAAGCAAAGAATTTTAGTTTTCTTCCAGTTCGCAATGCTAAATATTATGGTTTTCTTTCATTTTCCTCTCTTACGTCCTTACTCGGTGAATATTTCGTTGCAAATGAGGCGATTTTGCTATACACAACGCAAGCGGTTTGATCAAACATCAACATGGCGGTCAGAAAATCAAAAAATTTTGATTTTTTGCTCAAATTTCCCTCAAGCGGCTTGTCAAACCTTCAAACACCCCATACACAGCACAAATGGCTTGAAGCAAAGGGAAATTTCGCTTGGTTTGTCAAACCGCTTGTGTGGTGTATTTCGCTCTTTAATGTCAAAATGTGTTTGTTGTAATATGAATTCGCCTTGTTTACAACAAACACATCATTTTGACATTAAGTACCGCGGCGAAAATATAAATTCGCCATTAACACCACCCTGTATAAATTCGCATTGATATAAAATTTGCATGCAAACACAAAACAGCCGGGTGTTTCTGGCATTAAGAAGACATTTACGATCTCACGATTAATGCCTGGGTTATAATGGAAGTAACGGAACGAATTGAACTGCTATTCGGCTTTGTTTACTTTTACTTGAGCATTTTTATCGCCGCCGGGAATACGGAATCTTGTATGATATCATTCTTGTTACCATATAGTGTTTAGTATAAAACAATTTCTGCTACTACTCAAAAAAGNATACGGAATCTTGTATGATATCATTCTTGTTACCATATAGTGTTTAGTATTAAACAATTTCTGCTACTACTCAAAAACGCGAATATGTGGTAGATTTCAGACCTTGAGTGGTAGATGCTCAAAAAAGTGGCAGATCTACCTCAATGTGGGAGAGTCCGATCACCGATGCCGTCAAGTGCACATTTCACCACCTCTAGCTAGCTTATTTCACCTTAGCTGCGATTTACCAGAAATTACCAATGTTTCCTGCCCACTGAACACTTCCATATAAACAAACCCGATTTTCTGCGAAATAAAAATTATAAACAATGTCCGCTTATGATAACGTTAGGGTTGGAAAACTAGTGTTAAAGGGTGAAAAGCCGAAGTAAATAAAACAGGAACATATTAATACTAACTTAGATCCAAATAAAATCTACATTGCTTTTAAAATATTTTAGGAAATCCAAGAAGCACAAACGTGCTAGAGATCACAAGGACAAAGACAAAGTGAAGAAACGTAAAACTGTGGTAGATGAGGATGCGCTCCGTCATGGCGGTTGGTGGTTGGCAAAGAGTACACCTGAAATTCGTGGTGCCGTTGCTATAGAATTTGGGGGAAGTGCATATTTGAAAGCGCAAGATAATGGTTTGTTCACGTTGGGGTCACCACACAATGAAGGCGACGGCCCGGACCCTGAAGAAATCTTCACGGCTTTTCCGATAAATGACACAAAGATATCAATTAAATCTGGTTATGGAAAATATTTGAAAATCGAAAAGGATGGAATGGTTACAGGCCGTTCGGAGGCCGTTGGCAGCATGGAACAATGGGAGCCTATTTTTCAAGTAAGTTAATCATATCATACCTTTGCTACAAAAGTGCCATAATCCAGAAAACCAATAACCAGAGAAAAACGGCATTAAAGTTTACATACGCTCCCACGGTAAAAGGGAAGTCATTTCTTTCTAAGCAGCTATTCATCGATAACGCTATGAAATTTGTACACAACATAGAAAAGTTGGCCTTCATTCCTACATACATGAAAAAAAATATATTTTTTGGATTATGACACTTGCAACAAAGGTACTATATGTATTACTAGCAAATGCCCGCTTGCTTCGCGGTGCCTAATAAAATCTTTTGCGTTCACCAATCAAAAATAGAGTTTAAAAGCAAAAGCAGTCTGCAAAGTAAACATTTTTAGTTTAAATTGAAACGACTAAAAAACGGAATCCTCCTCACATATGCCAAGAATAGTAGCGCTGTGATTCCATATGGAATACTAATCCCTTTCGATGTAATGCGTTTTACCTATGATCTTATTTCCACCTGTGAGATCTCTGCCAAGCGTGCGTAATATTCTTCTACGATCCTGCAACTTCAGCATGGGTCCGGTGTACCATGTAAGCCAATAAAAGTCCTTATACGGAAACTCAAGAGCACAGATGATCGTTTTCAATTATAGGGAGGCCAAGAATCCTCGCTGCCCCACAGGATGAAAAGTTTTCGCGTACATTGGCTAAATGAGTCGCGTTATCTAATGAATATCGTTCAAATGAAGCCATTGATATACCTATCGTATTCCTTCTTGGACAGATGTGGTCGAATCTTTCCTTGTCAATTCGCCACTTTTACTTTTAATATTTATGAATTGGTTTCTCTGAGTCTTATGCAAGATCACGCTTACACCGTCTTACGGTCTTTATATGAATACTTAAACGCATCCTTTATTTAGCCAACTGAAACGTAAATTCGTCTAAGATAAACATAGGGCCAAAGCAGAATAAACCCCGCGGTTGTTTCTATATATTTCGAGTGCAGCGTCATCCATTGGGTCCCTTTTCTGCAAAATCTTTCCTTGTCATGGAATGAATACGAATTATGAATTCCGATCAGATTTTATAAAAAATACGGATTTTCTAAATACTTAAACTCCAGCGGTCCATTTTTAGCAAAGGAATTTTTCATCATACAGGTAGTCACGCTGCAAATTTGAACGAAATCTGTTAATAAATACGACTTTTATAAGTAACTCTACTCCAGCGCCACCAGCGTGTTTTCTAGTAGCCTATAATAGGACCATATATGTATGCAAGGTATAACCCCCGACAATTTGACTGGGCTCTATTGAGTGGTTTTAGAGTTTAGTCCACGACAGTCGGGTCTACGTAACCGGAACGACCCAGATTTATATCTGGCCAAGGACGGTCACTCCAGCAACACTCCCCAAAAACCCTTTAGGGAACTTGTATGCTGCTACAACAACAACAACAGAGTTTAGTCCGAAAAACGGAAATGGCTATAATTTTATGTATGTATAATCTGGCTGAGTTGCGCCGGAAAAAAATTCACGCGAAAATTTTGATTCCCCCCATAGTAAGTACATGGAAACCTAAAGCGAAAAATTAACCGGTTCAGGGAAAATGAAACTCATAAGGCAGAATATGTTTCGAATGAAAAAAAAAATCATGAAAGTAATAAACGTTTCGAATGTGTTTTAACAAAATAGGTGCATAAATACGGCTTTTATAAATAGCTCGACTCCAGCACCACCTAGCGGCTCCGTTTTTGGTAAACGTAATTTCCATTATGCTGAAACTATACCTTTTGAATTTGAAAGAAATCGGTTAATAAATACGACTTTTATAAATAATTCGACTCCTGCGCCACCTAGCGGGTATATTTTTGGTAAACGTGTTTGCCATCATGCAGGTAGCTTACATTTTGAATTTAAAATAAATCGGTTCATGAATACGATTTTTATACATAACTTGGCCCCTGCGCCACCTACAGAGTTTTGTGGTAGCCTGAAATTTTGACTGAAATCTATGCAGTAGATTTTGAGTTAACTCCGAGCAACGAAAACGGCTATTATATATGGGTATTCACAACGGTGTCGGTCATGATTCAATAATACAAGGTTAGATAATTATTGACAGCTGCGGTTTGACACTCCCTTACAAAAGGTTGCATTTACGGAGGACAGAGAAAGGGCAAGAATGCAATCCCTTGTTTCGAAAATGGTAGTAGAAAAGTACGCAAAGTAGGCAATTAGTAGTGAAATTCCTTTCGTAAATTCTAATGTATTTGCAGGAAATCTGGCATTTTAAACGAAATGTTGATCGTAATATTGATATATCTACGTGAATTACGTAATGTTTTCATCAGTTAAATATTCTTCGTATGCATATACAAATAAAGATATTGCACAGAGCTTATACTTTTATTTCACACCACTGTTTCCATGTAAATTTGCAAAGAAGCAACACGGTGACACTGCTAAGGGAGCGGTGCGAGAGAGACAACTGTCAGTTTATCGAACCTTGTGTTATTGAATCATGGGTGTCGGTAAGTGTCGTATTGTTGGATGTCGTAAACTTTAGACGCCTAAAAGATATCTTGAGGGGGTTCGCAAAGTACTTTTAAAGTCATATTATGGATTTTTGCAGTGTTAAAAATAGTTGTTTGTCGTTTCAAGTTCTCTAAACATTTATTTAAGCTTTTAAAGTTTACGACATACAACAATACGACAGTTACGACACTATTGTGAATCCCTCAATAGATTGGTTGCATTACAAAACTTTTCTCTGCAGGATGGAAAAATGGCGCTTCTCTCGGAAACAGGATTTTTTATGTCAATAGATCCGGAAGATGACGCTTGTGTAGCACTACGTAAAAAAGTAACTGAGCACGAAATTTGTAAAATACGATGCAATGCACAGCGCGAAGCTGAAGAGGACGAGGAACCGAAGGAAGAAAAGGGAGATTTAACCGAAGTAGAAAAAAATTATGTGTACGTTTTGGCGGTTTTCGTAAAATTATACCAACATATTTGGCATTTGTGTTGTTAATGCTTAAGTGTAATTTTTTTCTGTATATTACAGGAAAAAATTTCAAAAGTTCCAGGATAAGAAGTTACGCATTAACAAAAACGATATTAAAGAACTCGAAGATGCAAAGGATCAGGGCACTTTACATGAAGCTTTATTGGATCGGCGTAGCAAAATGAAAGCGGATAGATATTGTAAATAAAATTTTCACCCAGAATTTATCTATTTACAATAAAATATGCATTTCGTTTAGTTACTAAGAAAGTAGCGAGCAAAGTGCAAGCTAAATAAATGATAACTTATACAACAGAAAAGTATTATGCGTATACAGTAGTAAAAATATAAATAGGGAAGAGAAAATTTTAGCATTCCTTGGATATTTGCCTTCCGTTTATTAAATGCCGGTTTCAATTTTTTTCTGTCAGCTTCCATATTAAATTTAAATAAAAAATGGGTTTTCAATTAATACTTCATTCGTGAAACTGGCTAGAAATGTTTAGTATTCAGCCTCATTGCGTAAGTCGTAAATTAGGCTAAATTGTACGACCCGACAACATTGGCATTGTCTAGTGAAGTGCTGAAATAAGTAAACGACGAAAACCGTCGAAAACTACGCAGTGCTGCCAAATTTTTCCGTTTTAATAAACTTGTCGAGTGTAAACGTTAGGCAAAGACGTGAAATTTTCGATACGATTCGACTCTCGAAAAACGACTTACATTCGAAACGACTCTTGCAATGAGGGTGATTATTTTACTAGCCGAATGTATGCATATGTATGTACGTTTAAATATTTGGAGACAGAAATCATATATGCCATCATGTGCTTCGTTTATTATATAATTAAAAAATCAGCTGACTTCCAAAACGTTAATCGGTTTGCATACGTACAAAGTATGATGTTCCATAACGCCGAACTACCAAATGTTGAAGATGTATACTTTTCCAAAACGCATCGCTAGCGCAATCACCGCATCAGAAACAAAGTTGATTCTTCGTTTGTTATTGGTTACCATTGGTGTTTTAAAAATGGAAAATTCATAAAAATCGTTCATTGCTATATTGATTATTTAAAATATGCAATGTATATGGTTGCAATGTGTCGCAACTCTGCATATACAAACAGTTTGAATACCGCAGTATAAGTTTCCAAACAATGTATTGATACGTTTTGGAAGTCAGCCATCTTGTCTAAATCCGTTCAGTAGCGTGATTAAAATATATCGCCTTTCCTTCATACTATATATAGAAGATAGTAATTTTAAATAGGTGGCAACCCTCTTAAGAAAAAAAAAATACATGATCCAGAGGCTGTATTTTTTTCATTTGACAGTGACGGTGCAGAACTGACGCCTACGCTTATTAGAATTGAATATAATAATTTTCTTGACAGGTGGCAATCCTACGAAAGGCGAACTCTTTGAACATAAAAAAAAAAATGTTAGCGCTTTTCTAGAGCCCAATCCCTTTCATTTGACACCTCATTTGTAATCCAACGAACGGAGCGGATCTTAATAGTTTTTTAGACAAATGGCAACCCTATTAAAATTCCAAGTAAAAAAAAATCCCTCTCTCGTCGATACAGAGTATATTAGAGAAAATCTCGCCAAAATCAGTTCAGTAGTTTTCGAGATTACCGCGTACAAAGAATCTCGACTTTCCTTTATACTATGAAAGAGTAGCTCGTTATCTAACAAAACCATGTCAGCCAAAATTTCAAACTTTGTACAAAAATTAGGAAATTCTGAGAAAGTTCCATCAAAATGTTGAGCCATTTAATTGGATTTTATTTATAAATATTTTGAGTATGCAGTTTTATAAACAAGTGCAAGTTTCAAGTAGCTGGGACTTACTGTCGATTTTTGGTAATTTTTTTGTGGAAGGTGTTGTCCGCTTTCTCCATACAAACAAATTGTCGAATATACTTTATAGTATGCAAATTATTAAAAATTTAATAAATATTGGAGCCTTGTTGCTTTCTTGGTAAGTTGCTGATGCTCAACTGAAAATTTTCTGAAATACTGCATATGCCGTTTGTGCCGCAATTTCAGCAATGCATATCTATAACGATCTCAAAACACTCCGCTAAGCCAGTGAACGATTGGTTCAAGGGGATAAATTTCAATCCCTTGATCTCAATTCAAAGTATATGGGCTTGCTCGTGATGCATTTACAACCGCAGTGTTGCGCGAATTATTAAAGCATCACGTTCGGTGTGAATTTTTAGCTATGTTTTATTAGTTGGGAAGTTGCAATCGTATTGCAAATTTTCATCGGTGCTGCAGTATTGCCGGTTTTATTACGTGCCTCGAACAGGCCCACAATTTTCTCCTATTTCAAGGTCCAACTACATTTGTTTGAAATAGGGCGGGCATTTTTTGTTTTCAAAACTATATTTTTTATCGAAATTTATAACTTTCCAAAGCAAATCGGCTCTAACCAAAATGTATTTAACAAAGTGTGATTGAATTTGACATTGCTCTCAGAAGAACCATCCTATAGTTAAATTGAAAAAATTTTGTATGAATTTTGAATCGATTGTTCATATTTTTTGGCATAATAGTACCTTAAAAGAGAGCCTACCTGAGTTGTGAATCACACCCTGTTTAATACGCCTTGGCTGTAACTACATTCATATATGTATCTTACTACCGAAGCTAATATATACATATCAGTGGTAAAACAACTTAAGGGACGACTTCAGGTTTTACTCTGCATTAAAATATTAGTTTCCCTTGGAAAATTTTATATTTTTATTAAGCTTCTATTAAAATAGCATCTTAAAGCATAATATGAACTTGTTATCGTTAAAATTAGGTACCGGCCGAACTCGAGTTTTTGGCAGAAACCGAACCCGAACCGAACATTCGGATTTTTTCTTGAAGTTCGGCCGAACCCGAACCGAACACGAAATTTTTAGAGTAAAAATTACGTAAGTAATTACATATATACCGCAAAATAATTAACTAAAAGCATTTCTGATATTTTATGTAAATTATCCGTTATTGCGTTCAGTTTCACTCGGCAACACTCGACTCGTTTTTTTTTAGCATTTGCAGCAGAAATATAAATTGCTAGTGCGGTATGAGCAAGTTGAAATATATTTTCGAAATCAATATTCGCCTTTCGATTGCAGTCAGATTTTGCAGTTTTAATTTCTGAAACCGATTTCCGAAATGTGACCGAAAGTACTTTTTGGCCTCAAACACCTGAAATAAACTTTCTTTCTCTAACTGTTCGGTAAACGATTCAGAACGCTCGGTCTTATACTAGTTAAAATATTGTTTGGGAACCCAATGAGATATTGCTTTAAACGGAAAACGGCCTATTTCGAGATAAGTCGTTTTAGTAAAATGACAGTGAAAACGTTGAAGCATATTTCTAAAGTCTTACTCAATTTTAAAAAGAAACTGCCCTTTAAAAAAATATTTGGCGACCACATTTTTGTTAAGTGTTTGGCCGCGCTCCTCATCCAATTAGTGGTGTACGTAGGGAAGCTTTTCATTGCCCAAGTGCACTCTAGTGGTGTTCGAACCATGCCCGAGCAAACGGCACCACCTCTAACCACTGTAGCTTCTGTTATAAACTCCACAAAGTTTTTTGAAATAATGCTAAGGTGACGCTCCAAGCTAGAAGCAAAATATTTTGAAATTACTAATGGCGTGTTGATTTCTACAAAAAAAATTTGCCTTCTCATCGCCCTCTTCTTAAAGTTTGTGAGTAGAGGGCAAAGAGTAGAGGACATTTTTCGGTAGAAACGGAATCGGCATAAGAAAAAGAATTTGACAGGCATATATGCATTTTTTTTTTTTAAATTAGTCCGTTTACTCTTTGTGGAAATATTTCATTGGGTTCCCAAAGAAAATTTTATCGGTTAATAGCCATAGGATGTTGTAGTTTATGATGCACTTTTATGGCCCTATTATGTATGGCGACTGATAGCCAATGGAACACATTGGAGCAAAGTTGCCAATTACTTCGAAATGGACATGACAAAAAAGTAAATTCGGACGTTCTCTGCGTTTTTCTATATACTGATATTAATCGCTTTATATAATACAAAGTAGGATACTGGTAGCCAATAATCGTTATTTTTTCACCGATATGTTTTCAGTCAAAAATAACTTTAACTGACTTTATTTTTTCGGTAAAAAAAAAAAGTTAAAATTTGATTTTGGTGCCAAATGAAAGAGGACTTAAATATCTTTTCAACAGAAATAACGAACGAAGTTACCACTTCTGGTTATCTAATATATAAAAATCTCGTGTCACGGTGTTAGTGGTCGAACTCCTCCGAAACGGCTGGACCGATCTTTATGAAATTTTTTGTGTACATTTGGTAGGTATGAGAATCGGATGTAAAGTATATTTCATACCGCTAGGTGCAGGGGGCGTGGCACCTCCCATACAAACCGAATATTTCATACTGCATATATCTGGAAGTGTTCATGGTAGAGTACTATAACTTGGTATGGAGATATATCAAACCAATCGCATACTCATGGAGAAAAATTGTGGTT